GGACAAGGGGCAATGAGTACAAACTAAAACATAAGAGGTTTCAGCTGAATATGAGGAAAAACTTCTTTACTCTGAGGGTGATGGAGCACTGGAACAGACCACCCAGGGGGGTTGTGGAGTCTCCTTCTCTGGAGATATTCAAAGCCCGCCTGGATGATGTCCTGTGCAACCTGCTCTAGGTGAACCTGCTTTAGCAGGAGGGTTGGACTAGATGATCTCCTGAGGCCCCTTCCAACCCTTGCAATTCTGTGATTCTGTAAACTCAGAAAACTGTTCTCAACTCATTTTACCTTTGACATTTTCTGTTTTTATCACAGAATTGAAGATTAACTTGTGTGGTTAAAAGCCTGTGTAGTTTTTACAACTACAGATTGGTCTAATAAATTACAAGCTCTGTTTCAGCTGTCTCCCATTGTCATTATGCCTATAACAATATGATAATTTTATGCAAACACACCCTATATAGTCTTTCTCACAGATGTTAGTGTGATGTACAGTGAGCAAACAGCCTACACTTGTATTAAGAGTAGTTTTGAAGAGTGAGGAACTTCCCTGCTCAAGAGATTCTAAGCAGCTTTTTCTTTCTTCCTGCTGGCAAAAATAAATTTGTGAACATAGTTAACACAAATCCCATTGAAAGCTCCCACAATTAATTTCCAAAGATACCAAATGCCAATACCACTTTCTCACTGAGTTAACAATTATTTCACATGGGCACAATGACAATTATAACTAATACTCACACCATATGGCTTTCTCTTTTTCACATAATTTAATAAATTATTATCCCCTGAAGACCTTAATATCTTTACTTTAATGCTTCCATATCAAGAAAATTATTTTGTCTTTGATGTAATTTTCAGCATAATCAAGTGAAATCAAGTCCCAACTTCTTTTATAACCACATTCCCTGCTTCCCATGCCTGCTTCTGTTCCACCACATGAATTATTTTCCACTGAAATTCTCCTGCTTATGTTGACATCTATTTATAGAATTGTATGAGAAAGATTTCAGTGCTCTGGCTTTGCCTAGAAACCCTGGAATGCCAGCTTCCAAAGCAGCCTGAAAAAAATCATGTCTCACCTCCATCTCCCTCTGCAATTACCACTTGGGCTGCAGATAGTTTGCCTGTCCAAGTATATCTGGCAAGGTACTAAGGCAGCCAGCATGCGAGGCACGTGGCATCCCACATCCAAGTTAAGAGGGAAGCTGTTGCTAGCAAGTGGAGTTTGGTCCTGAAGTTAGTGCTGAGGCAGTCCTTGGCATGGCATATCTCGCACCTGATCGGTACGGAGAGATTTGATGTCAAATTATTGAAAAATCTATTATTAAATAGGCCCCTTTGTCTCAAGATGTGGGAATTACAGATCTGTGGCCAAGTACTAGACAGAGCAGAAAAGTCATCAGCAGCTCAGCTCTTCCAGTGTGGGGAAGACAGCATGGATTCCACTTGCCAAGGTGCAAAAATTTAAACTAGCCAAGAAGCAGGCCACTGGCTGAAACTGCTGGCAGCAGCTCAGTCCTGAAAGGGTAGTTAGCATTTACCAGTGACATGCTACCTTTATCACTCCATAAACCCAGATGTTGCTATGCACTAAAGCCATCTACAGTAGCTGGGTAGCCCGTCACTCGAGCCAGACAACAGTGTCCCTTTGCCTACAATTATCCAGGAGGAAAACCCAGAAATAGTGCATGCTATAAGTCTGAGCCTAAACCCCTTTGAGCTATCCTACCTGTGTCTGCCCTTGGTAGAGAGAACAATCAGAAATCACTCATTCAGCTCCTACACTCCTGCTAATTCTGGCACTAAGAGAGAGAATTGCATCCCACATCTGTTACACTTGAACAAAACGTCATTGAGTATAAACAGAGCCACTGGATCTAAAAGAAACTGTGACCCAGGGTTTTCCCACTGTTTTGATGGAGGCACTCCTAATGGCTATTCCTTGCAGAAGAACAAGATGAGCAGGGCAAAATACCTCCCCCACCAGAGCCAGCAGCACTCCACAAATAGACAGTTTTTCAGTATATTTTTTCCCCTCAATCTACTTTTTCTAGATTGTAACCCTACAACCACCAAAAAATCTATAGTTTCTAAATAGCTTAAGTTTCTACAGCAGAAAATTACAGTATTTAAGTTTACATAGTAAACGTATTATTACTATATAATTATTATTATTATGCAAGTAGAAACTTAGACAACTGAAGGTTTACTACATATATTTATCTCAATTTTTTTCATTACTTTATCACTTCACCATTGATTCTTCACGCTTTGCTCATAGTTTGTTAATGTATTTCTGGTAAATTATACCTCATGATAGGTAGATTACAACGTAACACATACTAAGCAAAAATGCTCGTTACCTTCTCCGTCTATCATGCAATACTTCTACATCTGTATCATCAAACCATAAAAGGCCTTTTATGGCCTCTCCATGCTGCTCAGCCATTTCAGGGGACTTTTGTTAACTTTCACTTGAACTTACTTGTCTTCTGATTTGATTTTCTTTCCTTAATTCTTAATTTTTGCCTCTCAAGTCTTAGTATGAAAGACAAATTCACAGGGTGTTACTGATTTTATTTAGCTTAATTTCTATGTTTTTTTGCTGCTCATAATTGATCATTACAGAAATTCAGTTGCAGAGAGTTTCAACAAAATCTGATTTTAGTAAGTCAGAAGAAAAGATCTATTGCTAGGTATGGAATTGGACAAATAGTGCAGAATGAACATTAATAGTACTCAACACAAAGTATGTTTCTTTCCCAAAGCTGATTTTAAACTAACCTTTAATCATTTTCTATTTAAGATTGCAAATAAAGTACTCAATCATTTAGACCAATCTTTGGACTTGTGTGGCCTCAAAGTATACTAAACACTGGAAGTAACAGACTAAGACCTGAGGATGTGTTGCTAATTGCTGTTACACTATCAATCATAGTGGCAATGCCAATGATCCATAGAATTCCACTTGCCCCTAGATTAAAGGAACCTGTTACTTTACCACTGCCTCCAACTGTAAGGTAACAAGCACTACATCAGTGTCAGAAAGAACAATGATAAAGATGACAGATGGAATTAGACTTCATCTCTGATCAAGTTATAGATAAAAGACCATGTTAGTTACCCTAATAATGCCTTGTAATTAATCAGGTAACAAATGCCTGCACAGAGACATTTAAATACAAGCCACAATCTCTAAAAATGCAGAGGCAAAAGCCAACCAGGATATCTTGAATGCAATAATTCTGAATTCCATAAACCTTTTGTATTATTTAGGAGAGCTACTGAATTTGTGTCTTTTGATTGCATTATTCACATTGCTGCAACATCTCTTTTAAAAAATAGAGGAAACATTAGCAGTTACCTCTACTAAAAAGGCTTCCATTCTGAATACTTGAGAATGCTATGGGATGTGAGAAGTTTCTATATTGCTCTTAGTGACTTTTACTGTACAAAGACTAAAATTACAGTGTTTACTTGGGATATTATTTGCACCGCCTCTAGAAATAGTGCCACAGTTGTCAATTATGATAAGATCTTTCTCCTGCTTTCTTGCTAGTTACATTTTGCTGTGTGGAGAAACAAACCTAGTGCTATCATTCTCACCAGCAGAAGAATTTATTAGCAAACCACTAGGCTCCTTCTGCCTCAGGATGTCTGTTGCTTGACTGTTATTTTTGCAATTTTAGACAATGTCTGTGGCTAGCAAACTGTAAAGAAATGCAAAAGGCAAATCCAATTTAAAAGCATAAGAGAAACTGCTGATACTTACCAAACTATTCCCTGAGCCCCAGAGCCAATAGGTTTCAGGTTCTGGTAGCGTTTGAGAACTGTGAAGGTTGAGTCACCTACTTCCACACTGTAGAACTGGTTGTCAACTTTGCTTTTGCTCATGTTGTAATGTTTGGCAATATATGACACATCCACTTGTTTCCCAAATCCCTGTTGTACAGAAGAAGGGAAGGGGGGAGGGAGTAGAAAAAACACAGAAACCAAGGCTGGTAAAACATTAGAATACTGATAAAATACAGTCAGCCTAATTTTCTAATATAAATTCTTGTCATTTTAGGCTCATTGTCACAGACCTACATGAATCTTCAATGTTCTCAAAGACTGTATCAAACCCTCTTTCACGCAGAAAGTAACCATAAACCCCCACTGATTAAAGACAGCTAGTGAATTTTCCAGCTGATGTCTGTGACAGTTCTCAACTACTGGTCTCTGCTTGGTGTTAACTGCTGCTTTATGACTACTTGGCTTATGCATTCATTTGTATTGCAATAAATATTTTAAAATGAGAAGACTTGTATCAATGTAGAAGTGGGACAAGAGACATAGGAATTAGGCTCTTCATCATTGGTCAGGTAGAGCAAGTAAGTCTATTCACATAAGTGCTAAAACTTTCCCTGAGCATAAGAAAGAGGCCTTAAGAACCTTTCAACAGGAGTTGCAAAAGAAACAGAAGAGTTTGCGAGATGAACTGTGACTGGACATGGCTCAGTATCATGGAGAGTATTCAGTAGCTCAGGAGATCTTCCCAAGTTCTGGGTTTACATGTGTAAAAGAGTTGCTCTCATCACCTGAGAAATGCATTAGTCCTAAGCAAAGGCTAATTTTCATGACACAAAGACAAGTTACTGTAGACTTTTTATGCTTGCACTGCAGAGCTGTAACATCATCCAAATTTGTTAATTACAATGCAGAAAGTTACATCATAACCATTTTATGACGGCTAATGAGTTCAGCTCCCTGAAGACTATGGGGCAAAGTGTAATTTCAGATAAAAATCAGAATTCCGTGTTTTTAATTTAGGATTCTGTACTGCATGATGCTGAGCACAGGATGAGAAAGCTCAACATATTACAACAGATCTGTCCTCAAGTAGTTGACAATTCACTTACGGAAGTCAAGACTTTTCAAATGCCTTCTATAAGGAGTAGCAAAACCCAACATGCCTCTCTCTGCCTGTGCATTTATTTTCAGTGCTCGCAAAGACAGCTTCTAAATGTTTTCATTTCCTTTATTATAACTGCTTTCCCCCAAAAATCTGAATAATCAACTGTGCTATGTGACTATGGACTACTAAGTTGAATTTTGATGGAGCAGGGAAAAATGTAAAACTGATTTGGAGAATATTACTTTTTCAAATTAAAAGGACATCATTCCAGTGTTCCACAGTGATTAAAAACAGACAGCTGACCTTACAGAGAACTTCTTATGTTTGCCTTAGGACCATTAATATTCTTTTTCTGTCCATCATCTCACTGGAAGGCCTGTTGTCACTGGACAGCACTGGTTAATCCTAACCACCTCATTTAAAGACTTTGAAACATTTTAATAAATGTAGCGGTTCATTCAAACAGAAAATCTCATTTCAGAAGAGTAATTAGAAATATTACATTTACTTGTTAATCAGGCACAGGGCAAGGCTTCCCCCCCCCCAAACCACAAAAAGCAAGAGATTTATGGACACTGACACAGTGCTAAATTCAAGCTTACACAGAGTGAAATGACTCTGAAAGAGGTTTGAATTTTTCCTCATCTGAAGACAGACAGACTGCATCAGATTCACGCTGTGTAGCCTTAGTCTTAAAATTCCTTCCATTACATGAAGAGAGAAGCATAAATTTGGCTAGCTCAGCTATTCATGCCAGACCTGGAACTGAGAGGCTTTATTTTATTAATATGCTCCTGATAGACAGGAAATAATCACAACTCCCTCTGGCTATACAAACAAATTTGCAGCGTGTTTTTTTCTGATGTCATTATCAGAACAATGCAGACTATATTCAGCACCCGTTACTCTGAAACCAATGTTACATGAAGTGTCAGCACAAAAATTGCATTCCTTAGTGAGCCTGACTTGTAGCCAGCTCCTCTGGAAGAACAGATATGACTTTTTTTTAAACAAGCCAGATGACTGTATTAAGACTTGGATGAGCCAGGCCTGCCATAACGTGTTTGCATCCTCACTCCCAAGCTACCCAACAGTTCATCATGTGGTATGGAGCTACATGTGAAAAGATACTTTGTCACTCTACATTTAGAATCCTGAGCACACCAATGTTACTTGTTTTTAAGTTAGACTAACCCTGTGAACTGCTGGCCTCAGGAATCCCATACTGCCTACAGTGTGACTTCTGAACAGTTCCAGCAGGTGGTTATTTTAAATCCAGGAATGTCTTAAAAATCAACTGCAATGGCTCAGAAGAACCACTCTGTAGTACCTGTTATATGGATAATTAGTGTATGCTATCTCTTCAGTCATTTCGGCAGCAATTAAAGTGATGTTGATGAATGGGATGCAGAAGACCACAACCAGTAAGACCTGGTCAGAACACACAAGTGTCTTGATGAGCAGCTCTCCTCCATGTAACACACACCATTCCTATGACAATACACTCCTAAATCTGTGCGAGTAGGAAAGGTAAGGACTATTTTAATTTTCATGGATTTTTTTTTTCTTTTTAGATTAACATTTTTCTCAAAGTCTGTCTGCTTAAAAATCTGTGAGCCATAAGGAGCTCTGACACCAAGAATTACTTATAAAATTCAAGACAGGCTGATTTAGTTTGAAGTTCACTCCAAGCAGAATGCCTCCTCTGAATGACAAACACTTAAACTTTGTGGACAGGCCAGACAGTCTTCCAGGTCATCTACTAATTTGCCTCCCCCCTTTAAACTCACACGGCTAAAAAAAATACAAAACCCACTACTCTATATTTTGCTAATTTTTATCAAAGCCTAAATAAGCAAAATAATCCTACACAATAATCCTACTGCTTAAACCCAAATACTACTTACTTCTATAAGAACCAGGAGTGATATAGCTATCCTTGTCATGATTGTAATTTAAATCAAATCCCTAAATCAATGAATTAATAGAGTTATTGGATTAATCACATTTGATCAGATCCCAAAACCAAATAATGAACAATCTCTGAGCTGATACAACAGCCACTTCCTGAACAACGAAATGGCAGTTCTAAAATTAAGCTAAAAAAGCTTTTCCCATTAGCAAGGAAATTCTCTTAATAGAGCACATCAATGTTAGTTTTAGTTTCAAACCCTGATTAAAAGGTTCTCAAAGTCTTCAAATCCCCATTGCTGATCTTAAAGGAACTTACACACCACATTTTGGTCTTGTTCTGTTACATTCTCAGTGTTCACTCAAACCCGTTCCAGAAGCCTTGGCACTGGTATAGCAGTTACTATCCCCTTTCCCCATTCCTCCCCATCTACACCATGTAAGCTATTTCGGATTCAGGTTTTACTGCATAATGCTTGCAAGTTCTGTACTGGCAGCTTAAGATAAAGCTTTGATTATCTGACAGCAGAAAGGAACAGAGGGCTAGGAATTTCCAGTATACACCCTTCTGTATACACACCTAAACCAAAACTTTCTTTCAAATTTGACTGATACTGACATCTTAAGAAACTAGGAATTAGCACTTCATTAAGAATTAGCTGGGGAAAAGGAGGGTATACATACCCATGGCAGTCAGGTTTCCTTCTTAGGATAGTAAAGATGCATAGGTCTTGTACAGAAAAGTTAATTTCACCGAGTTAATAAGTTTTCAGGTGAACTTCAAATGAACTTGGGCAAGCTACAATACTGGGGCCCCAAAGTATTAGTAAGCATTGCAGGTGCAAAGTAAAAGCAAATTTCTTCATCATTTTTGCTTTGAACAAAACACATCTAGTTTCTCAGACCTCTGTGTAACATGAAAGATTGTTCCTCAGAGACAAAGTATGCATCGGAGTGCCATTTTTCTAGGTTTCCATAAATATTTGGACAGTGGAATTACATTGCTTCAACACTGACCAGAACTTAACTTTCATTTCACACGTACAAGAATGCATGCAGCATTATTTTCTCTTTCCAATATCTGACTGCGATTTCTAACACATACCTAATGCCATTGTCTTTCCTCCATACTGAGAAATTTAAGAGTAAGCAAAGTAAAAGTTTTTCAGACCTGAAAACATAGCTATCCTTGTTGGGTCACTTAAATGCATGGCCATACCTGCAATGATATTTGCTTAATATCGCAACAACTGGAAAGGAGGAAAGAAAATGAACTGTCAAGACTCAGGCATTTGAGATGAAGGAAAAAGATACTCTCACCATTACTAAATGCTTAGAGAGCGTATTTTGCTTTCAAAGAACAATTATTTTAAAATTTGGTGAAACTCAAATAATTTACTGCCTCAGCTACAATTTGTATTCTTTTCCTTTTTTTGTTTCACAGCAAAAGAAGGGGTTAAAAATCACAACAGAAACAAAATTATGTTATTTCCTGTATTATTAAGTGAATTGTTTCCCAATATCCCATTTAATTTGTCCATTTCTAACCCATAAAAGAACTGTGTGTATTATATTTTACTGACAGATCTTTGTTTTTGAACACCATTCCTCCTATTACTGAGGAGCGTAAAATATCACAATTTCTTACACCTTGGTATCTCATACACCTTAGCTTTTATAAATACAAACCACACTAATGGCAGTTTAAGCTAAATTGCTCTTTTGGATTTGCAAGACAATGAGTGCTGTCACAGAGTCTGTTAGCAGGCATCAGCTGGGGGGAAACTTTACCTCAACATCAGTGTCCTTCCCTGTCTGCACACAGAAATACCTACAGAAACACATCAACTTCCAAGGGTGCTATGATTCAAGGCTACTGAAAATAACTAAATGACTCCACATGTGTGAATGCAGGCAAGGAAAACAATTAGATGAAGACTGAAACATTGATTCCTAATTTGCAGTTGGCAAAGCGCCCAAAGATGAGCAGGATGCAAAAGAGAGAATGTTCCAAGCTAGCAATCACAATGGCTCCCCAGGGGCCCCTATGTCTCCACCCCATCTCAAACTGGTATGGAGGACAGCACATTTCAGAGTTGGGTGCCTTCAAGTCCCTCAGGATCCAAAAGCATAATATCTTAAAGCTACAACTTGACCTTAAAAGTCAGATGCTGAGATTACACAAATTGAAATTCTGAAGCACGGTAAAATCCTCAGAGTCTTCTTGCCAGCTCTAAAAATGTAAGTGCAGGCAAGCCCTACTCACCTGTATGAGTCTGCTAAGTCAACAACATTATTCATTTAATGGCTATCCTCCCACTTGTACAGCTGTAATTTTGTCAGAAGATTCAAGTGCCAGAATTCTGGGATGAACAGACATTTACTGAACCCTCTGCTTTGGATTTAACAATCATGGGTTTTGCTATGTAAATTTGGATGACCACAGAAGCCAACACTTGAGAAATACAAAGTATCTTTGCATAAAAAGGCCTAATAAATTATTTTTCATTGTGTATTCTGTATATGCCACATTTGTGGCAGAAGTATTATCTATTTTTCTTACCATAAAGCCAGACTTCTCACTTACTCTGAACTCAAAACTCCATAGATAGCGATCAGTTCTCCTACCAAAAATAGGGGTTTCATCTTGCGTGTGTGTGTTTGGGTGTAGTATTAAAGATTTGTATCTTATCAGCCACATCACACCACAGTTCCCTATTCTTCCATCTCATTCCCATCCTGTAAGGACTGTATTAGTCATGCAGTCTTCCTGATTTCAGTGTTTTGAGTGGGATTTTTAACAGGTTAATAATTCTCTGCCTCCTTTTAATCTCTCTCCAGCAATCTTGTCCTAGCCCCCAGACACAATCTACCCTCCTTTATGAAGCTGGCCTTTCAAGTAGTCATCTGACCCTTGCAAACAACTCAATCTTGATTAATCATTGATCTTTCTCCTATATTTGCTTTGTTCACTCATTAAAACACTCATTAATATTTCTTATTAGATGGAGTACAGTATTCATAAGTAATGGTTAGGGGGTTTGTTTGTTGTTTTTTTTTTTTTAAACACACTGTCCTTGTTTAACCTCTTCTGAGATACCAAAATCCCAGCAGCTTCAGAACTGGCTCTTACCTAGTTCTGATTACACAAGAAGCAGCAGGACTGCCTTCTGTTTCCTTTTAATTGCTATCTACTCAAAACACAAAGCAAAGCACTACTTACATATCCTTCACTTGTTCACCAAGCTTTAACTACTTTTAATTGCTTTTTTCTTACAGGCACAAAATTTTTCTAGTTCATTTATAATGGTGGTATCACATGTTGCTCAGAAGTCACTGTGACCCAAAGGTGTCTACTTCATTCCAGGCCAGATGAGCAACATGCGAGTATCTGCACAACAAAACAACTAGTTCAAAATTATTCCTCATTCCACCAATGCCTGAAGAATTCAAACTGACACACAAGTAACATCCAACCCTGGTCATCGTACCAAAGAAAGTAAGGAAGAAGATGACTGATCAAGAAACACCGAAAGAAAAGATTCCTAGAGAGTGAAGTTTCTTTATGGACAGGACCTTACTCAGTCATCCAAATGGAAAATGTAGCCAAAAATACTGGAAAGAAAGATTTAAGAGTACGTGAGAAAGCTATGCTTGGAAACATCTCATTCAGGCACAGCTCCAGACATAGGAAGATAGCAAAGACACACTGTGGAATTGTATCCAAAACAGAAGAAAATGATGGCAACAGCCACATCTAACTTGCAGGAGAAATGAGAAGAGAGGAAACACTGCAGTTCGTATTAATCAATTTGTTCTGAGGCTCTAGATTTGAAAAAAGAAGCAATAACATGGAAAGAAGCAAGATACAATTAAGATTAGGAAAGAGAAATGGGATCACTAAAAGTTGGCCAAAACATTTCCACACTAAGAAATGAAAAGTACACTTAATTTATCAACAGTAGTGAAGGGAATACAGAAGCACAGTGTGTTAAGAGCACAGAAGAGCCAAGATGAGATTAACAGTTCCTCTTTATTTATTGCATATATTGATAAACCAGTATATTTCAAATGGTTTACACTTCTCAGGAAACTGGAATTACACTGAAATACTGGATATTGTTTAAAAAGCTTTCTTCTAGTACCCAAGCAAGGCAGCAAGAAGACTGACTACACGAAATGGTACGCCCCAGTGAACATCATGGCTTCCTCTAAAAAGAAGGGTAAAGCAGCAGCACGTAACAGTAGAGATGAGGTATTAAAAAATTTAAATTTTTGGATATTCACTGTGAAGACAATAGTTAATGAAAAGATTCTCCCTTTTTATAAGTAAAGACTATAAGGAGCTGAATAATTCAATCACACCTTTTGTTAGAAATAAACAGCTCTTGATACGATGAAGTATCATTTCAGTCCTAGAAATCTGAGACATAGGTCACTGCTCGTTGATAGCTTACAAATACCAATTAATCTCCCATTGGATAGAAGGCATAATTATAGGACATTCTGCATCGAAACAGTTTCTTTAACGGTCCAAGTAGTAACTCCATCCGATCTGATTAAGGCATTAGTTGTAATTAAAGCAGTTTATCAAAGTTAGGATAAAATTAAAAAAACAGACCAGATGAATCAACCAATCAATGGAGAGCAATGTAATTAATAAAGCTGGTCTTTTCTCTGTGTAAAAAATTAAAAGTTTTCTGAAATCATGTGATTTTTAAGTGGTCATTGATGCAGTACTGCATCTAGGAAATCTATACACATTTTGTTCAAGACAGGTAAGCAAGACTGGAAATAAAGCAAGTTATCAGAATACAGGGGAAAAAAAGATGTCTAGATACATTGAAGCTTTTAAAATCTTTTTGGTTTAGGTTTTTTTAAAAGCACAAATTGAGTAGCAGTTTGCAAAAATACAGCACTCAAACTTTAATGTCCTATTCTACTCAAAATATACTACTCTGCATTACACTATACTTCAGTAAGAATCCTACAGATAAAACTTGTTGGTGATATCATCCTTACAAAAGTCTAATGAAATTCTATAAGCCTAAAAATGAAATCTTGTTCTACCTTTCTATTAAAATAGAAAAGCAAATGTCCTTTTCCTCAGCCTTAAAAAAGATGGCTGTTTCAGAACATGACTTAGCTAGCAATGTACAGTAATACCAGACTCGGGTATTTTTATACTGCAAATGGGGTGAGGGGAGAAGGCATATTTACCCCACTTATGCTACTGATTAATGCCAAGACTAAAGAACCACTGAACATAAAAGGAAGTGATAAGAGTACCTCTGCACATGTAAAATAGAAATATTTCTGTACAGCTCTTCTTTGGTCTAAGTAAAAGCGAAATGAAAGTTGGCAAGCAGAACTGTGCAAACAAACTGTAGAATACAGTGAAAGTAACTTTTTCATCAATAACATCTTTTTCATACAATCTGAGGAAAAACCGTTTTTTGCAATTTTTGCAGAATTTTTTTTTTGCAAGTGAACTGTCAAAAAATTACAAAAATACTATGTTTGACAAAATCCTTCCTTGTCTCAAAAACAGTGGAAGAATTAAGCCAATTAAACATATGCACATGAAGAACAGGAGATAAAAAAGGATGGAGAAGACAGTTAAACAGATTATCAAACTCAATAGTCAAGATCCATCCTAGAGCTGATGAATTACTAAGTGCAAAGCCAACCGTCTCAGCAGAACAAATATTTAGTACTCCCACAAGTAATATATTGGGAAACCCATAAGTAATATATAGGGGAAAAAAACAGTGTTTACCATAATTCCATTTCTAAGAATGCAGCACTGTTGTGACTCATGTATATACATTAGCTAACTTAATCCAACCAAGAAAACCAGAAACTGGACAAATCAATATGCTTTTTTCTTCATATCACAAATTTAGTTTCAGCCTTGTAGACTTCCAAGCATTGTGACCAAACAATTTCAAGGGTAATTTAGAAATGCAGAATTGGCTATAGCACAAGCACAGTCTCACGACTCCAGAACCTGCATAGCACATGGTGTTCAACTGGAGACAAGATAAACTCCACAATTTTAATTACTCTCCCTTTACTTCTAGTAAAGGTAGACTAAGGCACAGAAAATTGTTGTCACAGGCTACAATGTAAAAGGCTCTGTCTCACAAAAACAGAGGCTAAGATAAAATAGTTTTAATTTGCATATTTCTATGAAAGCATCTGTATATGTACAGTTATGTTATATTCACCATAAAGTTTATTGGAAGTACAGCCAACATTTTTTCTGTTTGCAAACTCTGCTATTATTTTTACCTAAAAAAATAAATCTCAGAACATTACCTGACATTTTAGCAAAACAAAATAAAAAATCATTAAGAACAAATTACAAAATAAACTTAAAAATAAATAGAAGAGTAATTTTTTGTGATGCATTCTTCTATTTTTTTTTTATATTTACTCTCATTCTTATAACCAGTTACTCGCAGTAAGCTGCTGAAATTCACTTTTATTTTTTCTTTTACTATGGCATGATCTGCAAAAATGAAGTATATACTGTACCTTGTTTTACCTGTAAGGAACACACACCTGACAAAAGGCAATCTTCACATCCAGAGTAGGTTCACCACAATAATACAAGAAATGGCGGCTCATAAATACCTGCAATTAAAGGAAAGTAAACATACAAATCTCATATGTCTGCTGATGTGCAAGTACAATGCAGCTCTTTCTACATTTGGATTACAAAACCAACCTGAGTTGCTGCCCAGCTTGTGAATAACAGAAATCAGTTAGAACACTGAATGGCAAATAGGCTCTAAAATCTTTCTGATGCTCATCAAGGTTATGACCTCAGTTGCATCTGCAAAATTTTACAGTAACTGATGCCATTACCTCAAAGTTTTTCAAATCACACGTATATTCCTACATCAACAAAAATAAAAATCAGTTCAATAACATTCTAAACAACGGGGGAATGGAAGACAGTTATTATTATGGGGAGGAAAAAAAACAAGTCCTAAGCTGACAATTATTAGGAAAGTTATAGAAATGGAAAGACCAATTACATCACTGTATAAAATCATGGCACAAACACTTTATGAATATTACATGTAGTTCTGGTTCTCATCTTAACATCCCACTAGAAAAGTTACAGAAAAGGATCGTAAGAAGGGTCCAAAGCACACACAGACTCCTTAGATGAAACAACTACAATGACTGAGAACAGATTTTTTTTTTTAACCTAGAAAAGAGCTGTCTGAGTGGAGATATGCTGGAGATATACAAAACGAGTGGCATACTGAAAAGTGAAAAGGAAAAAAAAAACCTCCTCCCTGTTTTTTTAAAAATAAAAGTATGTGGCATCAATTTAAGTTATCAAAGAACAGATTCAGAAACAGCAACAGCAGAGAATTCTTTGTACACCCTTTCACCAGATTGTGAAAATCCCTGCCTCACATTGCTGTGGATGTCAGAAGTCAACATGAGTCCTAATATGATTAGGCAAATTCACATAAGAAGGAATCTGCTTAAGGCTATTAATCTCAAAAATACCACCTCTGACTCAAAACAACCCTGAGTCACAGTCTGCCACTATCCTCTCACCCTATTTTTAGATTCTTTCACAGGCACCTAATACTGGCCAAGGGAACCATACACTAGACAAGACAGGCCTCCCTGTGTACCCTATTACAGCTGTTTTAACTTAATTCCATAGTACCACATTCAGCTCTAACCAATCCTTTCCTAGCTGCATTCTAGCATGGGACATCAATTATAAAACCACCCTGCTATGGCACAAGACTTTAGAGAACACTGATTTTTCTGCATGACTCCACTTCAAAAAAAAACCCAAAACTTTTAACAGTACAGTTAAAAAACCAGCAACTTTGGGGTAAAAAGAGATAAGTAATATAGAGCTTCATGTTTTTCTTTTAAATATAAGCTCATTGCAAAGAATTAAAAACAAAAAAATGCAACCATCACTCCATTAAGATATAACCGTGATTCTGAAACACTATGTGCCACCTTTCTTCACTAGGAACAATTAACAAACTTCAGGTGTAAATGCCACTAAATAAGACAAGACTTAATTTGGAGTAACTTCATCTCACACAAACTGATTAGGACTTATAAAACTACAAGTAAGTATTCACCAATACTTGCCAACTTGAATGCAACACATGCTCCCACATGTGTTTAATTTTTAATGAATGAATGAATGTATAATCCTGTTATGAAAGGAAGCGTATGACCTTCTCTGCATCACGTTACAGTGTCCGAGATTGCTGCCTCATTGCCTGGTGAGTCATTACCAGACCCTCGCATTCCACAGAGGGTTTATATTAAAACAAGAAGGAGAAAGAAAGATACAAAAAAAAGCTTTTAACATTAGTCATATCACTAGTGATTTCTGGAAAGCCAACAGATAAGTACACACTCATGCTGCAGATACATACACTATGAAATCCTAATAGCTGGATGCATTATATTGCTATAATAATCAATGACTGAAATGTCATTAGTCATAACAAACCACATTCAAGACAAAGTCTAATAGTGGAAATTGAAGAAAGGAAGGGAAGGGGATTGGGGAAATTTGGTTCCTCACTGAATTTGCTGCAAGGGTGTACTGAGAAGACACACTTTGTATTATATATGCTTAGTCATACATAGTTCCTCAGCTTTCCACAGGAGTGACTGTAACTGTTAATAGTCACCCTGGGCAGAGCAATAGACTGGTGAATTTTATGAACTGGAATACATTTTACAGTTTATTATGTTGTCCTTGTATGCAGTTACCGCTTATAAAATAAAAGTAGTATGATATGTTTTAATGGCCTAGATCAATACTCATATTCCTCTGTACGTGAGCTATATCAAATGAATCACTAGAGAGCTGAGATCCTCCAGTTGTACACCAGGAATGAGAACACCTTTCTGTAGCAGAGAGGTCTGTAAGACTGTATACCCAGGGCAAAACAGATTTGACTTCATGTTTTACATAGTGTGCGTCTTTGTATATTGAATTCATATGAGATTCCCTTCAGTGCCCTGTAAGTAATCACATGTCTGTAACTTCCAGTTTCTTCATGCAGAAAATACATTCATACTCAACTGCATAAATACCCTTGATCATACCTCCTCCGGTGCTAGCTGACATGGCATCACTAGAGACACTGAAGAAGCGTCGGTGTAAAGCAAATAAAGAACTGACCTGATGCTAAGATAATTGTGTCACAATATAAAGTAGTTATAAAACAAAAAGCTACCGACAAATGGCCTCACTCACTAGGGATCTGAGCTTTAGGCAAGAGCATAAGCATCCGATATTTCTTTACCCTACTTCTGGTGCTTTATCTTTTCAACCTTGAGCAAAACCACCCAGGGTGGGAAGAACTGGGAGAACGGAACAGTGCTGGTACAGCAAAACACCTTGTAATAACCCAGGCTGGCATCCAGCTGGGAAGCCAGTAATCGCAGTAGCATCACAGAGAGAAAACTTGTCTATGAAACACCAACACCACAACTGGATCTAGAATTTTCATCAAGATCAAGGCATCTGTATGCCAGAACCCATAAATACATACAAGTCTCAGCAGCAAATACGTAATCTACTTTCAGGCAAGACAAAACTAGAAAAGTAGAAAAAGAAAGACAGGAAAGCAAGAGTAAGAAAATCCTGAAAATCTTCTGAGCTGTCCAGTGGCACAGCCCCCAAGTGAACCACTGCCTGGGACTGTGAAGATACCACGAGGCTTGGCCTCTATCTGGCCTGCCGCTTCACCATCCTCTTCTTCACTCCACTCTTCCTCCCTTATCAACAGCTACTCTTCCAAACAGAATGTGAGCTAATGACATGCCCGGATGTCAGGCATGAATTTCCCCTTCCCCTCAGTGTGGCTACCAGATCTGTCTTTTCTGGAGAAGGACTATTTATTTTTAATAATGCTTATCCTTCTCTCCAGGGGTCAGGAGGACTATCTCATTATCATTCAAACAGCTCTTTGAAGACTGAAAGGATTAAATCAATGCTATTAATATAATTACTGAGAGCAGAGAGGAAACCATGCAATGACAGTAGACAAAGCAGACCAGAAACCCAATAGTAACTGTAATTCTCAAATATAGCTTCCCACAGTAAATCTTTCTGCTCATCCTAGAATTCTTTCCTCATCCTCAAAGCTATATGGTGTTGGTGCATTTCTGAGGAATTTAGCAACCAGTTTTTTGGCCTACGGAGCCTTGTTTTCCTTCCAGACTTCACTATTGTTCACACAATTGGCTTTTGGATCATGGAAGGAGAGCCTGTGTTTGCCTTAGGCCCAATAGATGCAAACTTTGAGCCTGAGAGGCCTGAATTGTTGCTGTACCAGTCCAAGGAGAGTCTCAGCACTTGTACCCACCATGTTGCCCCAAGCTGCTTCTCTACCTGACACTTAACAAGCTCTCTTGCCTGGAAAAAGCATCACAGTCCCTTTCTTTTTGGAAAATACATCCATGATGGTTTCTCAGCCCTATGTCTCCTAATCAACAGTCAAATCCCTCATGCCTAATGGATATTGCCTTGGCCTGTCAAAGCGTATTTAAAGCTTTTTTTGTGACAACTCAGAAGACAAATGTGGAGCCTCAGGAAAGTTCCATATAACTTTTTAATTCAGAGGGACAAAGAAGCCAGCTGCCCTGCTGCGATACTGCTTTCTCCATCACAGCCTGGACAGACAGGACTCTTCACCTCACCCCATAGCAAAATTATCTATGTCAAATACACCAATCCAGGGTTGAAACAAGGTTCTCGATGAGAAAAGCTGCAACCGCTATTTGACATGTATTTAAACCAGCGTTGCTGCAGTTGAAATGAACCAAGTCCCAAACTAGCCCCAGTACTGTTCTCACCACCTCCCACACTCCCGAGACTGTACTCAGAGGTATTTACGTCCTGCAACAAAACTAACTGGAAATAAATCCTTCAAATCCTAATTTAAAAAATAACTGTGTGAAAAATATTATTAAAATGTATACGTTCCAATTTAAATAGAAATCAAATGGCAGCTGCAGATATCTTAGACAGAACTACTTGTACCTAGAACATCACTAGATTTAAACCTGGCAGAGTATGGCTGCAAACTGGAAGGTTATAACAGAATCACAGGACATCCCCCCATAATATGCTATAATCTATTCCCAGTCCCATCAAGTGTGATAATCTCAATAAGGGGAAATTATATACATTCATATCAAGAGCCAAATCCAGCATTTCTGTTTATTTGATATTACCATCCAAATACATCACATGTGCACAACTGGTACAGTGAATGTGCTCCCTTACCTTCACAGGCATGTAGTTTTATACTTGTGCTACAAAAGGCTAAAGTATTTATTGCTGCCTCATTATATTTCATTCATGAACATGAAGATTCAGAGTATGAAAACAATTAATGAAATAGCACAATCATTTAAAGTTATTTAAAAAAATATCCTGTCCAACTTCAGTGAGAGGGTGCAATTTATCAATTCAGCTGTCACTTAAACACCTTCTTGAAAAACACTGATGTTCAAAGACTAACATTTATGAATTATTAATGCTTCCTGTTTCAAAAATGTGTTTGAAACATTTAAAGAATTTCCAGTACTGGAATTCCTCTCTCCATCTG